ATCATGGTAAAATCTGTACAATATTTACTAAAGAAGCACCACGCAGATTTGAACGAATTCATGTTTATAATTTAAGCTGAGTTGGGATGGCTTCTGTGGAACATGTTGAATCTGAAAGACAAGAAGCACAAGCATTAGTATAAGGCAGAAGCCCAAGGAAACCTGGCCCCTCCTTCTGTACCACCCTGCCCTGAAGTCCCTTTGGTCTTAGGGAGACTCTTCCCTTGAAACCATCTCTGCCTTCCTGAACGGCAATAAAGGAACCCAGTGATGCCAGACAGCAGCAAAAGAACCCTTGGAAGCCCTGCAGGGAGGCGCCATCTGCTGGGCTCAGTTGCAACTGCCCATCCTGCAGCTCAACTGAGGCTAATTCTCAATCCTGAGATCCTGCTCTCACTGCAGAAGTTTAGTTCCTTAGGCTTAATGCTTTCCCTTGGGCACACACACAGAAAGCATGCTAATGAACTGCACTCTGATCTTCTGCAGACAATTTGCCTGGAGGTTCATTTAAAGTCACCCTTGCTGATTGGCTGAGACACATAACGACAGTTTACTTCTGCAAGTGCACAGCATGGAAAGTGAGTCCCCGCTTCCCAGGAACACGCAGCACAAGTGATTCAGTCATAGCCTGGACACCATGAAGGTTCTGCTCTGAGTCACCTGGATCTCATCCCAACAGAGTGGCCATGTCCGGTGTGGGGTGACCCAGCCTCGACATGACATCTAAGCCTAGGCTCTGACTACTTGGGGTGGCCTCTGCTGTCTGGGTTGGGGACATGGGTTTCTCATTCCAGATGCTTGTCTGATGACTGCTGATTCTGATGGGGGGAGCCTTGTTGGCTTCCCAGGGAGGGAGGAAACAGCCCTTGTCCTTCCCAGGCCAAGGTTGCCCTGGTCCTGCAAAGCTGATGGGGAAAGAGGTCTCCGTGCTCTCCAGAGCTGGCTTGGAGCCCAGTGCCCCCATCCCTGCTGCTGTCTCCACAGCTCCACCTCAGGGCATAGGACTTTTTCAGAATTTAAATGCCTTCTCTATCCCCCCTCAGTGCTTCTACATAGGAAAGCACTTACCTTAACTAGTGAATTTTTTGTTTTGAGGCCAAATTTTCAATCACCTGGAAGGCAAAGGTTAGGAAACATTTTAATGACTTTGTACAACTTGTAGCATCTGTTCTGAGTATGCATGAAGTGGTTATAGATTTTTCTTGTAGCTTAACACTCCTTGCCTGCAGTCAGTCCCACATCAGGCTGAGCAAGTACAGGCTGGCACATAACCATTGCTGCAAGTGTCCTCCTAAAAGGAAAAATGAGCTCCCATGATGATGGAGGGCCTCTGCTCCCTAGGAAGACGCCCCCAGAGCCTAGCCCTAGGGAACAGACAATTTCTGCCCATCACACTGCTGAGTTCTCACAGGAGGGAGGAACAGACGTCAGGCCATGATCAAAGAAATTAACAGATTTGAATGGAGCCAGAGGTCAGGAGTTTGCAAGAGAAAGGTGAGTGGTTAAAGGTCAGGACACAGGAACACAAATAAGTGTATGGAAGATGTCAAAGTGCTGGCCTTCAGCCAGGGACCCTCTCTCAGGAGGACTGAAGCCCACAAAAGGGCTGGCTGCAAACCAGTCATCAGTACCCCTGGACAAGGCACAGAATCAGCCACCATTCAGACAGGGCCTGACTGTAGCACCTGCAGTAGACAAGTGGACTTAGCCCTGGATGCCATGTGAACTTGCTGTCCCCAGATTGGGGTTTGACCTGCCCTGCCAGGATGATGGATCTGGCAATGCCAGACACACAAACCAAATCTGTCACTACCTGATCTGCAGGCACCACACAGCAGGCAGAAAGAACAATCCCCTTCTGCAAATCAGTTGCTCATATGTTACTGTGAAACCGCTCTGAAAATGTACATGATTTCTTAACATGAAGACCAAATGCCACATTGCTTCCCTTCAGTCCTGGCAGTAGTGGTAGTTCTGCCTGTGCCCCCTGTGGTGGCTTCAGCCTTCCTCAGGCCTGCTTCTCTTCACACCTGTGACAGCTGCACCCAGACCAGGGGCCATGGGAGGCCCTGACCTGCTCCTACCTGGGCCTCCTCAAGAGAAAACATTTCAGCCCAGGTGAGGACCAAAAAGACCTCAGGACAAGCAAGGTGATTCGTCAAAATCCCTGGACAAGCAAGGTGATGTGTCAAAATCCCTGTAATAATGTATGTGGCCTTTACTCAGGAAAGTGACCCTCAGTGTCTACGGCAGGGCCTGGCAAACTTTCTTTTCTGTCAAAGCCCAGGTGACAAATGCTTTGAGAGTAGTGAGCTGTACACCTCAGCTGCGACTACTCACCTCTGTCAAGAGCACCAACTGCATGCAGACTACTGACTGTGGTTCAGGCACTTGAGTTGCACACACTGTTCCAGTGAGACAAAGTACTACTCTTCAGAAGTTTTAAAAACTTGAAAGCCATTGTTACCTCACAGGTGATGTGAGATGGGATGGGGCTGGCTTTGGCCTTTGAGATGCAGCCTGGCAACCTGTTCCCTAGACCCTATCCTTTCATTCCTACCAAGTACCTCAGGAACCAGTTAGAAAGTGAGAGAGGCTGCCCAAATGCAGTCAGCACAAAGAGCTGTTCAGTTACAAGAAGACACTACACACCAGAACCCAAGATGCCTGGTAGCTTGGAGTGAGGCAGCGATGCCAGGAGCCTCACAGGCATCACTGGTAGAGATGACAGCTACCATTTCTAATGCCTCCTCTCATCAAATTAGGAGTTAGGATACACTCTGGATGCCCTAAGCAATCAGGAGACTAAAGAAAATACTGCAAAAGTATCACTACTAAAATGCTTCAGACACAAATAAGTTTTCCCCTTATGATCAAATACTCAGACATCCAGAGTGCCACAAATACCAATTCTATATAACGATTCTTCAGTGCTAATGGATCAGCATCAAGTAGCCAAACTACACAGGGAAACGAATCACACAGGCTGAGTCAAGGCAGATAAAGCAGGAGCCCTGTTTTACAAGAGCACCCTTTCAAGGCACCCAAGATTCCATCTCCATGTTAACCGCCATTTCCATAAAAACTTATCAAGATTTTTTCTCTTCTGAATTTCAAGAATTGCCTCTTACCATGGCCATACTCCAACATGTGGCACCTGTCGGCCCTGTTCTCCATCCTTAAATGCTTGGTTTTCTTTCGGAAAGCTCCAATGCCCTCCCCAGCTAAGCCATTGGCCAGCAAGAAACTACCCTCAGGCCTCCGGAAATGATCAACAGTCTCATAGCTTGAGGCCTTCGGTGAGTGCAGTACTAGTTCTTTTGCAGAGTCTTCTGATTTCCCTGAGTGCCTCTTCTTTTTCTTTTTCTTCTTTTTATGTCTGTGGAGGTCAGCATCAGAGTATACTACTGGAAGATCTGGATCCAGCTGATGCCTGCAAAAGAAATAGTCAGAAATTAGCAACCCAAACACTAGCACTGCCTCAGGACCTGGCACTGTCCTGACCACTTACTAAGGATGGTTGGCCTACAGACACAGGTAAATGCTTATTTAGTTACAGGTTCTCTACTTTCAGCTGTAGTAATTTTGAAAGCCTAGGTTCATAAATTCACCAACTTCAACTCTATCTCTCACTCCCCCACCACAGCTTCTGTACTCAGGAGCTGGGACTATCTGCTGGGACACAGCCAGGAAGACTTAAGTGACATCTCCTACAATCAGCGGCTGAAAGAAAAAAGAAACAAAGAATATTCTGCCATGCGTCTCAGACACAGAGGAGGAAATGGCCTGTGATTTTATTCCTTTCCCCACAAAGTAACCACTACCTATTTACATATAGCTTTGGAATCCTTTGCTATTATTTTAATTTTAAAAGAAGTTAACTAGAATATACAGGAATTCCAGTCATGCTCACTTGTCTTGTCATGAACCCGTCGGTCTCAAGGCAGCTGCCAGGGCACTTGCCTTTTGGGGACAAGGCTCTATCTGGGTTTTATCCCAACTACCAGAAAGGGGGGGGGGATCCCCTATATAACATTTTAAAAATAAAGACATTTAGGTTTCATACTGAGAATTAAAGACAAAGGTCATGTCCATTAGCTCAGTTGTTTAAGTGCCCGCTTAAGAAAAGGAGTCAGGCTCAGATTTCAGTGGATCTATCCCCAGATCCTCATGACTTCTGAGACCTGCATTTAAGGCATCCTGAGAGGACATTAAAAAAAAAAAAAAAAAAAAAATCCTTTTCAAAGACAAAGGCCAAAGGGCCAATGAGATAGTTCAGCCTGCTTCGGCAAGCACAGGGAAAAGGGGTCAATCCTCAGCACCATATGCCATAGTGGCTACTGAGTCTGGGCATGGTGTAATCCTATGAGTAGTGTAATCTCATGATCACTATGAATCTGAGCTGTGTAGTGAGACCCTGTACCAAAAAAAAAGACAAAGGCCAAGAAAATAAGTGATGCCCCTCAGACCTCTACTCTACGCAGGCAGGCAAATATCAACAGAACTATGGCCTCCCATTTTCCACCGACCATGCAGTCACTAACTTTGGGAAAAACAGAACAGAAGTCACTACACCTGACAACCACTCTTGAAGTCAGAGAGCCCTGAGTTACTTGTACAGAACCAATGTTTACTCCTAGGAGTTAGACAGCGTTAACTGAGAAGGGCAAAGTAAGACACTACAATATAGGAAGTAAGCCAGAGCTTGAAAGCTGCACCATTTAGGAAAGTGCAGGGGCAGTGAGGTCTTGAAAGTCACGGACATGAGGAATGCTGACCCTACTGTAGAGCTCGCCCTCACCTGTAGTCACGCTCTTGGTGCTTGTCTTTAGATTTCTTTTTCTTCTTTGATTTTTTACGTTTCTTGGCCTTAGGCTCCTCCAGGTCTTTCAGGAGGCTCCTGTGGGCTTTCTTCTCATGACTGTCATTACTTTCTGCACTCTCATACCTGCGTTTGCGTGACTTCATGCTTTCGTGTTCATGAAAGCGATCTGAGAGGCCACAGCCACTGTCGTCAGTTCCAAAGGCAGCCTTCTCCTGGGGGTAGCGCTCAGGGTGCAGAGGGAAGGGGGGCACGGCTCCTGTGCGGGGGCTGTGAAAGTGGGTCCGCTCCCTCACCCGAGCAGGTGGCTCCCAGCCTTTCCTGGCCCGGGAAGAGTCCTTGTGTGGCCGCTTCGTACTGGGCTCCCTGATTGCGTAGGGCATGTACCTGTCAGGATAGTACCTGCACCTGTCCCACCGCACCTTCTCTGGGTAGTGCTTCTCCTGGAGCCAGGCATGCTCACTGTCTGAGTGGTGGTATCGGCTCCAGTCCTGATCAGCCCCGCTCCTGGTTCGTGAGTGGTGGTAGCTGTACCTGCTCATGCTGCGGCGTTCACCAGGGCTGACTCTCTCACCATAGCAAAGAGGGTGCTGGCTCCCATTGCAGTGCTCCATGGCATGGCCCTCCTGCTTGCTGTGCTTTCTGGTATAGGAGCGCCGTTTTTTGTGACAATGGTCCTCAGTCCTGCTCCGACTCCGACTCCGGCTTTTCTGCACATGTTCCCCACTGGAAGAGCGGTCTCTACGGTTACGGTAATGTCCGCGGTCAACTTTTCTAAGGCTGCTGATTTTCTCTTTAACTGGCGGCCGGTCTGGAGCTTTCTGCATGGCCTTACCTTCGCTGCACCTCTCCCCGTGACTATGCTCAGGGCCCCCTTCTGGATGGGTGCCTGTGGTCCTGTGTGGTGGAGCAGAGGGCAGCATGACGGCAGATATACCTGTGCTCCGGGAGGGGGCTTCTATGTCACTACACTGGTCTCTACTGAGGTAAACTGAGAGCTCAGGCTCACGTTCACCTTCCGAATGTGTGGAGGGAGCTGGGCTCAGTTTTTCCACTGTTTCTACTGGACCAGAATCCTGAAGGCTCTCAGTTAATAACCCTTTGACCTCTTGTGGAGGTTCACCACAGTTGTGTGTTAAGTTCCCAGCATCACAGAGTTCAGGAAGTGGGTCATCCCCCGTGCCTGCCTTGTTGGTGTTACAAAGGTTGTTTATGATGGGCAAAGAATCATCAGGTTTGGCTGAAATATTTTCTGAGACAACTTCTTTGGTAGATTTGAGGCTGCTGTCAGGAGACAGCAAAGCCTTCTTAAACTTGCTGCACAAACTTGTGATCGGGTCCAGTTTCTCATGGGAACCAGCAGTGACACTGCCAGTCTCAAGCCCCACAGCAAGGTCCCCTGATGGACTTTTCTCTGTTCCAGGTGGACTGCATCCCCGCCAAAAGAAAGAGACAAGTCAAAAGTTAGACGACTGATATATAGGTTTTTTCCATGGTTTACATTCTATCACTTTAAATATAGCTGACCATAAGCCAGAATCAGACTATCATCTCTAGACACCAAATTTTCTCTTTATTAAATAAAAATTTTATCAACCCTATTTTTCAGCAATGGTAATTCTGTAGCTCTAGACTTCTGTTTCCAGATACATTTCTAATTCTTAAGAACTAAGTCAGCAAGCCAAATGATGACTGGCTGTTCACTTTTCTCATTTCCTTCTTTCTTTTGGAGCCTCAGAGATAGAGCAGCTATTTCCAAAAAGAGCCAGCAGTTTCCTGATTTGTGGAAAACAGCCTTACAAGGGCTCTTAGAAAACCTGTAATAAATGTACCATCCCTTTGGCAGTTGCAAAGCTTCTGGCATTCTCTCAAGGTTAATTGACAGCTAGGAAAGAATAAAACACCTACCATGAATTAGGCAAGACGCAAGGGGAAGTCACAGCAAATGACAGTGCATCCCAGCTCCCTTCTAGAAGCATCCCTTCTAGCTTAAGGTCAAGTGGGAATGAGTGCTCTCTGCCTCTCCATCCCTCTTTCCAATTCCCCGTCCCTCGGCCAGGTTCTCAGGGGCCACCTGGGGTTGCCACAGTGCCATGAAGGAAGGCTCCTCCCTCACATCCTCACATCCATGGGGTGGTAACCTAGTTATATTACTGCCACTGTTTCCACAGATGCTACACTTTCCAGGAATCCAACAGTTGTGTAAACTGAGGGATGGTCACACTGTGATGTGGCTGCAACTTCACCGAGTCATTTATCACCAGAGCAGGGCAGCACAGATGGCAAATCTGGACACAGTGTTTATGCTGAATGGGCACACAGTGCCCATGGGGGCAGGTGGGCAGTTGTCACCTGGTGCAGAGTCCTGCTGCAATTTCTGCATGAGCAACCATGGCTATGCTTCAAGTAATTTTCCTGAGTTAAATTGCAGCTATGTCAGTATATTGATTTGTCTTAAAACTAAATGCAGGAGAAAATTATATTCTCTATGAAATTATTTTCATCCATAGTCTCTGGGGAGACACATCATTAATTGGTCATTGCAAAAGATAGTTTTTCAGAAAAAATTAGAAAAAGGTTTTCTCTTAAAAGAAAAAAATGATTTTTAAAAAAGATGCTCTTGATTAAAAAAGAAATGTTTCAATATGTGTATATATGGTAATTCATTATTGTTAATATCATGGTGTATTAAATGTATTCCAAATGGATAGGTCTTCCAAAATGTAAAACGAAGCTTGTTTAGTGAGCTAAGACTTTCTCTCAGATTCAGATCTCTGCCTTTAACAAAAGCTAGTGATGTATATCCCATTAAAGGATGACTAGGTGAAAGCTTATGTGATAGAGGTGATTAATTAAAAGGGTTTTTAGGTCAAACTGAAAATTTAAGTATGTTACAAAATGTCATTAGGATTGTCATACTGCAATGTTATGTATGGTTTTGATTTCTACCTTTCTGTGTAAAAACAGGTAATTGTTGTTTGTTAATATTCTATAAGAATATCCATGTTTCTAAGGTGTTATTCAGATAAGATAATAATGTTAAGCTTACTGTCTCCATTACAGGGTAATGTCATTAAGTTTCTCTTCTGGATGTTTAGCAACTGAGATTTGGAGACCAAAAATTAGAAAGATAAGAGTGGGCTGGGGGGATAACCAATGTTTTGGCCCTCGTCCTACAAGCTCAATGAAGACTCAGGACTTAAGAGAACCTCCACTTTAACATCCTGTAACTAAGTTGAGTCCCAGATTTTCTGATCAAGGAGATTATGGGACCACAGGGGAAAACAATCAGTGATATATATAGTGCGCCTAAGAAAAGTCATGTGGAGAGAATAAAATCTCTCAAGCTTTCCCAGAAAGCACAATGGTCGTGACTCATCCAGATAGCTGACACTGACAGAACTAAAAGGCACTGCACTTGGTTCTAAAGTAAATCCTGAGCAAATTTAACTGACCTTGGTAAAAAGAAGAAATTCAAATTGATTAATACAGGTCTAACTTCAACTTGATCTTAACCATTCAGCAGAAAATTATAACCACTAGATGCAAAAAAGCAGTAACATAATAATATGCTAGCTGTAAAAGGTTCAAATTACTAACAACTTCTGACAGTTGACAGCTGTTCTGGTAACTCCCTCCTATTATGGATTATTGGACTTTATTGGGTTTAACTGCTGTGTACAGATACCCAAAATCTTTGGACTGGCATTAAGAATGAAAAATTCTATAATGTTCTCCAAACACAGCTTCTCCAACTGTAAAGGAACTCCCATCATTCACACAACAAAACAATCAAGTGAGAGACACTGGGAGCCACTAAAGTTGGAAATCGTATGTGGGAGAGCAGGACAAGGCTGGTCAGTGTGCCTAAAGTAGTCAAGCTACCACAGTCTTTAGAAGAACATCCCGTCTAGTCAATTTCAGCTATTAGTTGCTAGGCAATCTTGTATCTCCTGACACTAACTTTGCAAAGGTATAAATAAACATCCCTACTGTTGTTCTTTTTTTTTTTTTTTATTTTAGGGAAGGATCTTCAGGGTGTTCAGGGTCTCACTACTAGATCAGACTTGCAGTGATCCGCCTGTTTACAGCCTCCCAAGAGCTAAGATTACAGGAGTGGGCAACCATGCCCAGTCTCAGATGCTGTCTCAGTGTGCCCTGGGGATGAGGTGGCACAGCAGGCCTGAGGATCGAACCCCCATCCCCTGTGCCTGCTTGCAGGTGCTTTAATCTGCTGAGCTCTTTGGCCGGCCCTTACTACTGTTGTTTTAAGGGTCTTTTGCCAATCAGGCATGGACCACCACCTGACCCAAAGGAAAAAAATTTCTTTTCAAATTTCTAGAGAGGCCCTTTACAAAGTACTTCTTTTATGACAGTGCTGGGACCCCTCTTTCTCTAAACTAAGAATGTTCTTCACTAACTCATTTATCATTAAAAATGAAAAACGAGGCCAGAAAAATAGCTTAGCAATCTAAGCACCTGTGTGGCTAGCGCAAGCCATGGGTTCAATCCCCAGTACTGCATGCTGTGCTGACCCTGCGCCCAGCTGGCCCCTGAAACCGGGCATGGTGGTGCATGCCTATAATCTCAGCGCTGGGTATGCTGAGACAGGAAGATCACTACAAGTCCAAACTGCATAGCAAGACCCTGTACCAAATAGATAGATAGATAGATAGATAGATAGATAGACAGACAGACAGACAGACAGACGGAAAAAAAAGGCAAAATGAGAAAATACAATGTGGCAGTGTGCACAGGTACTGCTAGCCAGAGCAAGCAATACAGAAGAAAACAACAAGCAGTCACAGATTGTGTTCTTACTCTTCTCAAAGGCAAACTCACATATTCTATGGATCAGTGTTCAAATCATCTGAAGGCTCAGGGTGTTCATAGTAACACTTTTATAAAGTTAAAACACTGACACATCACCTCAGTGTTGGACTTTATACTATGAAGTTCATTTTATTCAAATTTATTACTTTACCTTGTTTCATCTGTTGAGCCTTTTACTTTGTTGCTAAGTTTAAAGGTCTCTAAGATTTTGTCTTCCGGAAGAGAAGGCAAAGATGCAGGTATTAACTGCAATGAAAAAACAAAGACATATCAACAGTGGCTTTGAGTTCTGTACTCACTGAAATCTGGCTGAGTGAAGGGGCCACAGATGAGACTCAAAGCTCAGCCTCCCCCACCAACTCACCTTTCCAGGAAGACCATTTGCTTTAGAAAAGGGATTTTCTGAGTGTAAAGCAGGCTGGACTTGGCAACTGGTAGCCTCAAATGACAGGCCATTTTCTTTTGGGTCACTGTCTACACTGTTAGCACCATTTAGAGTGACAGGTTCTTGGAGCTCGTGTGGTGGGGCCTTATCCCCTTCGGCTTCATGGCCAGCAGAGTGAGCAGAGGCTGTCCTGCCCATGCCATTCTCCTTGGCCAGGCCCTTGGACTCCTCGTCGGACTCTTCAGATGACTCTGCGCCATAGGGGACCAGCACGCTGGCACTCACCTTGGACTTGCCATTCATCACTGGCTTGGAGCACGATTCACTTGGCGAGAGTGGCTTTGCTACTTTACTAGAAACTGACATTGTAGATGCATTCGAGGTAGACTGTATCGCAGAACAGTTGGTGACAGTTGAAGGAGGAACAGGTTTGCTAGGGGTCTCCAAAGAATTGCTATGATGGTTAGGCTGAGACAGAGCTTGGCGAACAGGCAGCTTGTTATGAATACTAATGGTGATTTTTTGTTTCTTAGGGTGCTCTGGAGTCACAGAGGGCCTGTTAACTGACCAGTTTTGAACAGAAGTAGAAGCATTAACAGGACTAGCCCTGTTGACACTGGTACTTCCATTAGGACTTGACATCGAACTGCTTGGCGTGTCTTTCAGTGGCCCAGTCCCATTCAAGTGAGGTGAATTCTGCAAGGAAGGAAGCCATAGCCAGGTGAGCACTCCATAATCAGGGCCTGCTCTGGCCCACAGGCTTCCCGCTTTGGTCACAGATGGAAATCATGAACACCGCCCTTTTCTTTCATCTGTTCTATCCACACGTACCTTTCACAGGCCCTAACTTTCTGGAAATGAATCCACACACTGGACAAATACGTCTATCAGTACACAACCCTCCTGGCATGGGTTCACATATGTTGGCTGGCTTTCCTGGGAGACTACCACTACACAGACAGAAGTAAGGCCAGCTTGCTGGCCACCAAGCAAGGAAGAAAGCACAAGGGCAGAAGGAAAGGCTGCTTCAGGCTCTACATGTGAGGTTACAACTGCCTTCCTTCCATCAGCCTGTGATGTCTCATCATTCTGCTCATGCAGTTCTGTTGCTCTAAGTTCCACTATTAACGCTGAACCCGTGACAACACAGATGACAGCGGGTTCACAGACAGCGTTTGGCCTATTGGTGTTTTCTTAAATACTGGAATTAGCTGCTGTTCTTTAGAAAACCAAACATCTCTTAAAAGTCAATTACAGCTTCCCCTTTCCCCAGGTGCATACTTTCTGGCTTGCCAGTCCCCAGATGTCACTCTGAAGCAGAGCTGGCTCAGAAGCTGGCAATCAGCCCAGCTCACAAAGGTATTTTACTGAAACAGAGCCCAATGTCTACCAAAGAAACCACTCAACTAGATAACTGATAATTCAAACCATACTCAAACTGTGAAGCTGTGAAACCTGAGAACAGCCATGACCCAGTGTAGTTCAAGCTGCAGATGGCCTGGGGATGGGGTCCCAGGGAGTCTGGAGGGCATGCACCACCCTGTGTACCAAGTCAGGCCTATTGGGTACATGGGCATGATCATACCCTCGGGGATAGCAGATGGAAAAACAGCACACTCCTAAGACATAAAGGGTCCTTGTCACAGGATCGCTTTTTTAAACTCACCTCTCTGATTCCCAAGTCATAGCTGGTACTAATTTTTAAATATATTCACACCACAGGGCTGGGGATATAGTTCAATAGGACAATGCCTGCCTGACAAGCACAAGGTCATGAGTTCAATTCCCAACACCAAAAAAACCTTCTAAATATACTCATACCAAATGTTCTTCTCAACCACCCTATTCATACTGAAATTCCCATTTTTTAATATCTTGAGGTGAAGGGCATGCATAAACTTTTTTGACAAGAAATCCAAGTATAGATAGGACACAACTATTGCAATGTTAGCCTGAGTTGTTGAAGACAAATCTTATAGTGAGGTAAAAATCAGACGCCACCTCTGAAGTGTTACCTTCATTGTGTGAGAAGGAAGCTGTGGTCCAATAAACCCAGGTGCAGTCTGCTTGTTGGTGACGACCCGCTGAGTGGTAACTGGACGGGGAGAGGACTGGCCAGGGTTATGAGTGGAATGAGTAAGTTCACCTCCGTTTTTCACATCGTGGGACCTGGGGACAAAGAATAAGAGGGCTTAGGACAACGAAGGGCATCTTAGCAGAGATGGCTTTACAACTTCTGAAAGAAATAGATGGCAAAGACACTGCTGCTAAGTCCCACTACACAGAGCCACATAATGCATGAGCTCTGTCAGCAGTTGGTCAGTGTTGGGTGCTCAGCTCAGGACACAGGGCAGCTGGGAAAAGGAAACCATATTTTTAAACTCTGCATTCTAAGGATGCTGCTATAGGAAGAGTATTTTTTCTGTTTGTATTTTTAAATTAAAAAGATATTCCATTATAGAAAAACTATGGTATTCAGAAAATAAGAAAAAACACCCCCCCATGGATAGTTCCCCTTTGATTGGATAGATCATTCCCCTGCCTTTCACTCAACCCCAGTGTTTAATATTTCAAACTGCTTTATCTCCATATACATTCAGCACTTTCCCCAAAGCATTAAAAAAAAGGGAGGGGGGAGGTTATAACAATTAATCTTAGCAGGCCATGGGAAACACAGCAAGATACTGTTTCAAAAAAGAAAAAAAAATTACTAACAACTGCATCAGATTTCAATACATCATTCTGCCATTGTTAACCATTTTAAGGTATTCTTAACTTTAAGTTACCATATTTAAAAGGGACACCTTTGGCTCAGTGGTAGCAACTGCCTGGCTTGCTCATGGCTCTGGGTTCTATTCCCATCATGGAAATAGAAAAAAAAAAACAAAAAAACAAAAACAGAGGGGATGGGGGACACTGTGGGATACACATCAGATTTTTTTCCCCAAAAAGTAGAACTGTATGTTAGTTTGGAGCTGCAACAGGATCAGCCCAACTGCTAGTCCCAGCCGAGGGCAATGCCCAGCCAGTACTATGCTCAGCACTGGGGAGGTGCTGAGTGGGACCATGTAGGGTGCTCAGAGCACCCTTCCCCAGCCCTGCACAACGGCCTCCACATCCCTAGGTCTATTTCATCTGTTGCCAGCAGCATAAGCCACCCCCTGCCAGCTATCACTTTTCCCTACCTCTGCATCAGTCAGCTCTGTCAAAGAGCTGGAAGCTAATGCATGCCCATAACCCATACTCTGGCCTCCTGACTCTCCACGCCTATGGCAGGGTAAACCTTAAGCTCTGTTTTTTAAAAAATAACTCAAAATAGAATTGAATGTGGGTGAGATGAAAAGAAATGACATTATAGAAGATGTGGTAACTTGTTTTCATAACAATACCTGATATAAAAGAGCACATATGCTTGTTGGCTGAGTACCGATCTAATATCACTAGTAGATACGATGGAGTCATTCATTTGGTACCACAGGCCGTTGCTAGCCTGCAAAAGACAGCCAGGAAGAGGGAACAATTAGACCTTGTAAGGTTAACAAGAACAAATAAAAAGAATAAGAAAAAGAACCATTCACACTTTAATTGTAGAACCCCCACTTTTCCCCCCAGAGAATGCCAGTGCTTGCTGGCTTATAGTGGCTGTGTAAGGGCAATGAGCAAAACAAACAGGGCTTACTTTTATGTAACAGAAGTAATGGCCCGCATGGCAATTAAATCCAGTGTGGACCAGCACTGCATACAAAACATAAATAATGGGTTCTCCATTTGGTTGAGACATATATGGCCGAATATCCAGATACTCAGGATATTTTACATCCTAAACAGAAACAGACAAAGGAAAAACAAATGTCATTTCTAATTGACATCATTCAATTAGGTTATTTGTTATCCTTAATAGCTACTGGCACTAAAGTATTGGCTCCTCATAAAAGGTAATTAATAACATTATCTACAGACCTTAGCAATTTTTCCACCAGTAGAATTTGCAAAGCGTTTCAGAGAAAGTGTAAGAACATTAGATGATCTATGTATAGTAAACCGTTTTGAAGCTGGAACCATCTTTTTGCACCTTGAAGTAAAAAGAAATAAAAGATTAAAGTGTGAATTTTTGGTGTTTTAGTCTTTCCCTTGCTATTTCTCTGAAACACCCTAATTTTAAGATTCCAAAACAAGAACAATAGATGAGGAACATCACTCCCCTCCAAACAAACAGTGAAAATATTTAAATAAAAATATTTTGAGTAGCCAGGCGTGGTGGTACACACCTATAATCCCAACACTTGGGCGGCTGAGACAGGAGGATCGCCATGAGGTCTAGGCCAGCCCATGCTACATAGTGAATTCAAGACAAACGTGAACAACAAAGATAGACCCTGTCTCAAAAAAACAAAAAAACAAAACTGGGGGAAATTGCAAAGGACAATTCTGAAGCAACAAGATGCACAGGGCACCAATGTTAAAAAACAGATTAACTTAGATTGGAAGTATAGCTCAGAGGTGGAATGCTTATATACCATCCATAAGGCTCTGAATTAAATCCCTAGCAATGCAGAAAAATAAAATAATAGGTTAACCCAATTGAAAAAAAAAGGAAGCTAACTGAATTTTTAGGCTGGTAAAATTCTGTGAAAGCAAAGCCTTACCCAGATAGAAAAGGGGGGAAAAAATTGAAGTGTCAGGAAAAATCCTAGTCTTGGTGAGAAAAGCACCATCTTGCCCCCAATATTGAATATTTGACAATAAAAGATTGTTTAATATAGATATCTATATCACCTGACTAGGAAGTGAAAATCTACTTAAAACATATGAAACACGTATTCTTAAAACAAACTGCACTAACTGCCTGAGGAAATGTGTTATTGAATAATCTAAATTAGAGGTTGCCAGCAAACACTGTCTCACACCATGAGTACCCACTATAAGAAAGATTTTCAATTATTTTGGGGGAAAAGTGACCCCACCCTCCCTCCAGTCTTGTCTGTTAGAAAAGCCAAAGAAGATGCTGCTTAATAGACACTAACGCAGCACTGTGGCATCAGGGTGGCAGCTCTAGTTCTCCAAGGGCACAGAGCTGCCCATCTTGAGAGAGTGCAGACACCAAACCTGCATGTTCTGGCCTCTGGACGACAGCCAGCCAGGGTCTCCCAGATGGCACCAGAGCTAAGGCAAGCTAGTGGGCAATTTAAGCACACCATGCTCTTTAAAACCAAGGCTCCCTGTCACCCCAACTGGAGCAGCCAAATGAGGGATGCAAGTCACCCCCATCATACTTGCTACACTTGTAGGAGTTTTCTCCATCGAGCTGTTCCGGCTTCACAAACTGCTCCAATGCCTTGTTAACACTCGGAGCAGCCTGGGAGGAAAAAGCACAAATACCACATCACTGCGCACCATCATGGTGTGTGAGAGACAGAGAGAGCAAGCAAGCAAGCAAGCAGAAAACTTAGGAAAACAAATCAGAATTTTTATGAAAAAAAAATGTTGTTTATGAATACGGTGTGAATGAGTTCCCAGCTACTTGGGAGACTGAGGCAAGAGGATTGTAAGTTTGGATCCAGCCTGAACAATTTAGATTCAATCTCAAATAATTTTTTAAGTGGGCAGGGAAACCACAAGGCCCTGAGTTCAATTTCTAGTACCGAGAGAGAGAGAGAGAAAAAAAAAAAAAAAAAAAAAAGACCAAAAAATTGGCTGAGAACGTAGCTGAGTGGTAGAGGCCCCAAGTTTAATCCCCAATGCCATTTAAAAAAAAAAAAAAAAGGCAAAAATGTTTTCCTTTAGGATGATTCCCTACCTCACTTAAAAAGCAAACTCAAGCAAATGAAAATACATAATGAGGTAGCTCCCTGCAGCTTTACTTAGAATACTATAAAAGTAGAAAGCAACAAGGAACTGTATCCACCTACTGGACCACCATCAACTGCCCAAACATGCTGATGTAGAAGGTCTCCAAGCAGAGGGAAATGAAAACAGCAAGGGAACAAAGAGACTAAGGCCTAATCCCTTCTCAAAAACTTTTTTTTTTCCTTTTTGAAATATTGAAGATTAAACAGAGGGCCTTCACACTGAGCCCTTCCCTCATTCCCTCATTTTTATTTTCAACAGGGTCTCACTTAAGTTGTCCAGTTTGGGTTGAAACTTGTGATCCCCTGTCTCAGCCGCCCAGAGTCCTGGCTCTATACACGTGCACCACCATGCCCTGCTCATAATCTCATTTTTATATAAAGTATCTAATCTATTCTGGTGCAGTGTATATCAAATGACTACGAGCATTAAACATAAACGGCAGATTTTACATGTATCTGCAATGTTTGTCTTTTTCATCATAAGCATGCATTACATCTGTAATCAGAAAAATAAAAACTCAAGAATAACAAAAATATAGTCCAGGAAATGCAAGATGCTAAAACAATTTCTAAAGAATAAGAACATCTAAGGTTTGCTAACATAAGTATCAAAACCTGTTTTTATTAAGATTTACTAAGTGAAAAGTCAAAGAGTACAAAAGATTTAAAAGTTGACCACAACAAAAGTTAAGTTTACCTTTATCTCCAATGTAATATCGAGATATGGGTCAAAAGTGTCTGAAACGCCCTTGCAATTTAAACATTTTACTGAAATAAAAATATGCAAAACATAAGCAAGGGATAATCAGTATGGCAGTCTCAGGTACTGAAATTACTGAATACAAATATTATTTTAAAGTAAAAAAATTAGAATTTCTTTTCTACTAGATTGGCAAAAAAGCTAATCTTATAGACAGTATAAGAAAAAGACTCATGAATTTGGCCCCACACTATTGGATGGAATATAAACTGGCGTGACCTCTTAGGATGACAACATGCCAGTATTAAAATTTAAAAGACATCTATGATTTAAATTCTAAAACTAAGAGTTTATCATGGAACTTTTACATAGATACAAAAGCATGAAAACATGGGTGCTGTTCAATAAGGCACTATGATAACAACAGAATAGAAAGTTAAGTATCTGTCAATAGAGTGAAACAAATGGAACTAGTGCAGCTATGGAAGGACCCATTAAGCCTATACATACCCAAATAGAAAGATTACTACTATCAAGGGAAAAGCAAAAGTATTCTACAGTTTGCTCATGAATAGGAGGTGACCAGAAGGACATACTAGGAGCTGGTAATGGGCTGCCTCTGGGGAGGAGCAGGGAGTCTCTACTTATTTCTACAATTTGCATTCTAATAACTCATGCATGTGCTGCTTTATTGACTTGAGAACAAAAACTTACCTCTAGATCTTAGATAGCCTCCAAATATCTGGCAAACAAGTGTGGTGGCCTGGGTGTGTCTATCTAATCTGAAAGACAGAACAGTGATACAAGAATTCTGCAAAATTATGGATGCTATGACTACATTGTAAAAGTACGTATATTTGTGAAAGAACAAAAATTCGAGATAAAGGCCACCTAAAATAAAACATCAGTCTGCACAGTACCCAGGGCTTGGCCCTGCCTGGTGGAGCACAGTGAGGGTCTGGAAGAAGGATGGAAGGAGCTAAGTTATGAAGGGTCTTGGAAATCAGTGTAGGAGATGGGCTCCAAAGCAAAGCAGCAAGAGGAAGATATCCTCAGCAGGCTAGTGCCCCCTTGTGGGACTTGTGGGAGGCAGAGCGAGCAGGCTATCATCACCATAAAGGCATGGATGAGTGGAACGCAAAGGGAGGTATCTGTACGAAGTATATGGGCAGCAATGGGTAGGTGAGGAAGGTTACGGAACTGTCTCACCCTGCCTTCTCTTGAGTCTGTGTTAAGATTTTAGGAAGAAGCTATAGGACTGGTAACTGACAGAGAGTGCAGGCAAGAGAGTACAGCAAGCATATTTATAAGGCTGGAGGTCAGCAAAGAAAATAGAAAATGTCTGGCACAATTATAAAGGAGAAGCAGGTACTTCTAGATCTGCCTAGGCATCCTGACACTCAAAAATTAAAGAATAGCAAACCACTGTTTATTTCCTGGCATCTATAATAGAACAAATTCCAAATGGGACAGTAAGCACATCTTTTAAGTTTTATTTTATTCTATTTTTTTTTTTTGCGGAACTGGGGATTGAACTCAGACCCTTGCACTTGCCACGGAAGCGCTTATTCCACTGAGCCATCTCCCCAGGCCCTTAAGTTTTAGTTATTTTAAAATAATGCAAATCAGGCAGGGAAGAGGCAATGCAAAGCTAAAAGGTAACGCAGACAGATCTGTATATTTTCAACATAAAAGGCAAAACAAGCTTGATAAGCCAGAGATGTAAGCCTGGCTTACAAAGAGATGGTTTGTACTCACTTATTGCTGCCATTCAAGCATGCTTTCTGCATAGCGTCAACAGTGTACTGAAGAAATTCATGGGCATCTTCCTGGTTTCCAAAACGGAAGTGTCTAGCTATTCCTATAAATTTTAAGTAAAGACAAAGCTTTATCATTACATAGTAAATGTCTAGGCTGCTAAGTTACATCTCACGTTACTCTGAAAAGCC